CTTCTGTTTAACAAGTAAGTTTGTCCTGGGGCTAGAGGCATTGTTAAATCCTTAATGACCAATCTGCACTATTATTTCAGAAAAACATAAAGCCTGATTTGCCTAGCTTGGCTCAGGCTCAGGCTCTTTCCTTCTTTCCCTCTTTCTCTTTAATTTAAAAGTAAAAGTTATACAGCCCTTTCTCTGCCAAGTGAAACTCTATTATTGCCGCTGCCATTCATCCATTATCCCTAGGTGATTTGTCATAGAACACAGTACCCCATGAAAAACCTGAGACCAAGGAACCTGAGGCCCTAACATTTAGGGTTTTGTCCTGGGTATTCAGGGTCTGTAACTAACAGGTAACATTCACATCCTAGTTTACCTGCTTTTCTTAGTCCTTGTCTTGCTGGTCATCTGAGAAACCATGGCAATGAGAATGGCTGAATTTCAAAATTGCAGGCCTGGGTAATTCCAGATGATTTCATGGCCCAGTCTCCTACAACTATATTTTACGGAAGCAGCAATGGAAGCCAAGAAACTCCTGCCTTGTTCAAGAGCTCAGAGTGCAGGAAGAGCTAGAGCCCAGAATATCTGGCTCCTCGTACCGTCCCCTTTCCATTAGAATTCGGGGGTCCTTTCTTCCTGTGCCTAAAAATCACCTGGGCAACAGTTCTGGGCTGGGGACCAGGAAAACCCCTCCCCACTGACACATTTTCATGTTAGCTTGCTTTTAAGCCATATCCCCCTTCCAAAACAAACAAACAAAAAAAAAAAACAACCTGCTGCTTCTAGTTCCTTAATATTTCCATATGAAAATTCTGGAGTATGTGTAGTACCCTATGCTAATATTTATTTATGTTTGTTAAAATGCAAGTTTGTGGGGCTTCAATCCAGAGCATCTACTCTGCGGTGTGGGGGGCAGTGCGTGAACCTGCATCATGCCATGTGCTGCCCCTACCCTCCTCCACGGCCCTGTGGTCTGTGCAGCAGTTTGAGAAGCTGCACCAGAGCTGCAGGTTAGCTGAGTCCACTGGGCCTTAACTCTGAGAAGCCCCTGAGGTCTTGTAAAATATAAGAGCTTGAGGTAGATGTCCAGGGAATGTGTATTGAGGGGAGCAGCTCCCACTCTACGGAAAACAATCTTCCTTCCTAGCAACCAGGTTGGGTCTTTTGAGAAATGGGAAGGCACTGAGGAGTTTAAGTAAAGGTGTCCAAAAATACCTGAGCAGAGACCCCAAACTCCTTAGCAGAGAAGGTTCTGAGTGCAGAGAGTGGAAAATGAGGGACATAGGGGACAAGAGTTCCTAGGAAGTATATAGAACCTCCTTGGAAATTTGCTTTGATCACGAGGAAAACTGGCAGCCAGATTTCACCAAACAATACACTACAGCTATTGTTCCCTTGAACTTTTGCCTACATGTAAGAAGAATCTGGGTCAAGTTTTCCCAGTTCTTCATCACTTTATTTATTTTTAATCTTTTGGGTAACTTTTTTATTGAGATATAATGCACATGCCATACACACATTCCACTCATTGAGAGTGTTCAACTCAGCGATTTTTAGTGCATTGGGAAAGTTATGTAATCATTACCACAATTTTGCAACTTTTTTTGTCACCTTAAAAAGAAACCCCATGTGCTTTAGTTATCACCCCTTCCCCACTTTCCCCATTTCTCCAGGCCTAGGCGAACAGTAAGGTTTGTCTCTACGAATGTGTCTATTCTAGACATTTCTTGTAAATGGAATTACATACTATGTCACCTTTTGTGACTATCTTCTTTCACTTAGCATGACGTTTTCAAGGTTGAGCCATGAGGTAGTAGGTGTGTGTACTTCATTCCTTTTGTACCAATGAAATTATTTCATTAGATAGATAGTCCAGTTTGTGTACCTGTTTATCCACTTGATTTATTCTGGGTGCTTCCTCCTTTTTGGCAATGGAGGAAACATTTGTACACACTGCTATTTGTGTACAAAAGCTTTAAAGTATTTAAGTATAAAATACATAGAGAGAAGTGCACAAATCATCAGTGTAACTCCATGAATTTTCAAAACAAAATGAACCTCACCATGTAACTAGAACCTGCATCAGAAAACATCACTAGCACCCCCAGAAACATTTGTACACACTGCTATTTGTGTACAAATGTTTCTGTGGATATGTTTTCATTTCTTTGGAGTATACCTAGGATTGCAATTTGTGGGTCCAATGATATATCTATGTTTAACTTTTTGAGGAATTGCCATACTGTCTCCCAAGTCCTCATTTTATTTTTTAAGCCTCACCCCCAATGGCTCTAAATCATCCTAAAAGAACATAGTTACCTACAGCTCGACCAGGTATAACTAAAGACTCATTGTAAGCAACGTTTAGGGCAGGGGTCCTCAAACTTTTTAAATAGGGGGCCAGTACACTGTCCCTCAGACCATTGGAGGGCCAGACTGTGGGCCCTGGGATGAGTCGGCTGCTAAGCAGGACAGGTGGTGGTGGCAAAAACACCCAGCGGGCCGGATAAATGGCCTCGGTGGGCCTCATGTGGCCCGAGGGCTGTAGTTTGAAGACTGGGGTTTAGGGGATGCCGAGAATTAAGCTTGGTTTACAAAAATCCCAAGCTCAGATGTTAGAGGGTGCCATTTGATGGAACCTTAAAGGCTGAGCAATGTTACAAAAAATTCCTATGTATGGTAAGTAGGAAAAGAAACTCACAGCTATACATGTGGCCAATTAAAAAAAAGAGAGGAAATGACAGCAAAACAATGCTTAATTAGCAGCTTTGGAAAAAGTTTAATGACCTTATAAAATGAGTAACGTTATTAGATAAAACCATGTATGGATTTCAGTCCAAACATCTGCTATCAACTGTTTCTACATAGGAAAAACAACTTGAAAAAAAAATAAGAGTAAATTACTCAGAAATGCTTTAAAGCATTTAAGTATAAAATACACAGAGAGAAGTGCACAAATCATCAGGGTAACTCCATGAATTTTCAAAACAAAATGAACCTCACCATGTAACTAGAACCTGCATCAGAAAACATCACCAGCACCCCTCGAAACCCCTTTTCCAGTCATAACCACCCCCAAGGGATGAAGGACATCCTGAATTCTAATACCAACATTCTCAGACACAAATACATTTTTAATCGCACGTTTCAGGTGTCAAGGACTGGCTAATGGAATAGATTAGTTTAGCTGAGAGAATTTCTTAAGACTCAGTCAGACTTACTCTAGTGCATGGTGTAATACATTCTCAAAAATTAAATACCTTTAAGCTTGTATATAAAATAAAGGGGATGACCTCAGAACCCAAGAAGCTTTTAATTTAACATCATCGGCTATTTAAGAGCATTTATTAAAAGGTGTTTTTTAAATGAGCACGAAACAGTAGACTTTAAATATTTATTGTAAAAGACATCTCCTTTTCCCTCCAGAATTTGAAGTTTATTCCGGTGTGCAGTCTGTAAAGGAAATCCTAGGGACTATTACTCATAGGACCTTTAATAATTTAAAAAGTGTTATGCAAACACATGCATATTGGGAATACATCACATTGTAGGTTGAAGTAATTACCAAAATAATACAGCCCTTGAAAGCTGAGCATAAAAACTGATACACATTTCCCTTGATTTATTGGGCAGGAGATGTTAACTACCCCCATCTTACCGATAACACAAGCTTTCTACTACTGGAACTGCAAAGCGACACTGCTCTGGTTCTTATCTGGAAAAAAATCCATTATAATCATTTTATGTATAACACTTTGTACGCATTAAAATTCTGACAAGGCGAAACGGTAATATTATTAGGGGAAATCATTTTGCAAAGGCGAATCACTTTTAATAAGCTCTAAAGATGCTTCAAATTACTAAAGTTGATGAGGGTTTCCTGGGATATTTCCTCGGAAGCCTGGGGATTCTGTGTTCTACGGGGCGGTGCCCCATAGAGCTCACGAGTCAAAGCGGGGAGTGCTGCGTGTGGAACCCTCCCGGGTACTTTCTTTTCGTACGGATGGATGCTGGATACTTCCAAGATAACTTTGTCCTGTCATTCTCGCTCTTACAGGGGAGCCGGGAAAGCCCTCCCGCCGCCCCACCCTCTCCGGGCGGCCCAGCCGCAGCGCGGTCAGCGCCGGCAGCCCACGCGGATGCGGAGTAGACAGGTCCCGCGCCGCACAAGCGGTAACTTGGCCGGGCCTGGTCCTTCCCGAAGTCCTTGGCTCACACCTCTTCCCCTCCAGTCGCCCCGCCGCCCCTCCTCCTGGCATCCCCCTCTCTGGAGGAAGGCGGGGTCGGGCAAAAGTTGAAGGCAGGGCTCCCTTCTCAATAAAGCTCGCCCGGGTCCTTCTCTCGGCTGGACCGCGAGGGCCCCGAGCGGCGGCCCGGGCGCTTTCCCTGCGCTCCTCTCCAGCCCCAGCTCAGCGGGTGGGGACACACTCTTATAACTATCGGTGGCCAGCGCCGACGCGCACTGACCGCGGGGTCCCTCCCAGTCCGAGGGACTTACTTAAACATTTGGAGTAGGGCATCTTTCCTGGACCCCACGAAGCGGGCGCAGGTTGGGCGGTGACCCCCGAAGCTGTGGCGTACTAGCTGGCCGCGCAGCGCCAGCGCAGGGTGCGCGTGGGTGGGAGCGAGGGTGCACCCGGGGCCAGCCGGAGGCGGACCCGCCTGGCGGCAGGTGGGTGCGGCCGGCCGGAGCCGGGGCAGCGGCGGCGGCGGCGGCGAGTGGTTGGGCGGCGCGCGTTTCCTTCCCTCCCCCTCGCCCTCGGAGCCCGCCCGCGGTGCCCAGTGCGCGGCGCCCTCGGCTCTGCTCCGCGTCCCCTCCCCACCGCCCATGTCCCTGCCTGTGGTTCTCCCGGGCTCTTGCTGCCCCGTG